CAAGTTTACAGGATGCTTTAGACTGTCTTTCCCTAACAATCCAGTAGGGTATTTCGTGATAATTCGATCATCTCATTTTTGAAGTTTGCAAATGTTGTATCTTCCCTTTAATTAATATTCATAGCTGTAATATTGTAAAATATTCATTGCTTTTTATATCTTGAATTTCTATCCCTCTCTGTTTGCTTATAACAAAGTTGTGTGAGTCCTTGAGTTGTTCCCCATAGTTTATATAGACAATCATGTCAAATGGGATGTGTTGTTCTTCAGATTAAATCCTTGACATGGTGTTCATATAAGGTCAAAAAGGTAGGCCACATGACATGACCAAAAACAAGTATTGGACCTGCAAAAAGTTAGAGCTGATTCCTAGATCGCGAATGTGGAATTATAGGTAATGTGTAACAGCCCCCCGCCACTTACCAGCAACCTTGCTCCGCCCCTTGAAGGCACAACTTGCTATATAATGTCATGTTTTCAATAGCAATGTCGATATGCGTGCTTCAATAGTTTGATTCCGCAGAAAAATGCGACTGCATATTTTGAGCATGAGTCCTGGATGAATAATAATGTAGGGGTTTGCCAAACTTGCCGAGAGAACATTCAGTAGTGATTTGAAGCATGTTGACTGAATCAAGTCTGGCACCTTGGCGACGGTGCTAATTCACATGTTCCGAAAGCGGGCGGTGAAAGTTTGGAATTAAGATGACTCCCGGACGGGTTTTAAACACGAGGCCTGCCCCTGTAACGGAAATTTTGTGTTAGGCTGCAAAATAAGGAACACACTCAGACAAGTACAAGCAACCGTACTGTAAGCACACTTAGTGTAATATTCCGATTAAGCAGTGCAGTTTCTTCATTTTAACCCATGTAAATTGCAAATGACCATGGGATAAGGATCCTGTTCTCTAATGGCTCCGTTTTAATATATGCATTCTAACTTACGAGTGTATGATGCAATTATTTTCACAAACTTCTACATGCTGTACTTCTAACCAACGAATTGTTGCAAGAAACACCCGCACGGTAGAGTTAGAATTAGGGATTTTTCTGACACCTGTATTTCAAGAACTGACCTTATGCAAATGTTCGGTTGTATTTTCTGCCGTAGCAAGTCAGATGGAACAAACTCAAAGACAATGCCACGGTTGGCAAGGTTCAACTTGGCCACTCACGAAGGCAATTGCCATCGTTGTTCTTGTCTTGCCCCCCCCCCCCCCTCTGACCCCCACCCACGCACCTACTGCTGAAAATATTTTTATTCAGACGTCAAGGGTTGTTAACGTCACACGCGTTTTTTTCTTCTACAAATTGATTGTGTAAATATGCTTTTGCGGGGAGCCAGTCCGTAACAATCGGCTGAACTTGGCGATTTGTAAGTTTTAATCACGAAGTCATTCATAATTGTCGGGACCATTTTGAATTATTCAAGGCTGCATAACATACGTGCTGGCATAACTGTGGCTTTGTTACGCGTTATGCAGAAACCTGCAATGTCACGCTTCTAATTTGATCATTTTAGTCGTTAAACAATATGGAAATGTGACCTTTTAATGAACTGCGAGACCCAACATGGACAATGATCGTGGCAAAACTGTGAATCGTTTCGATTCACCTATACTACTTGAACGTTTGTTGATCGTGTTCTCGTTGTTACTTGTTAGGAGCGATACATATTGGAAAAGTTGCATAGGCGTAGCCAGCGGGGGGAGGGGGGGATTCCCCCCCCCCCCAAATATTTTGTAAAGACTGCCTTTTTCCATTCAAATGCCCTTTTTCAACGGGCTTACCCTCCCCCCCCAATAATTTGTCAAGAGTGCACTTTTTTTTTACACGAAGTGGCCTTTTTTCTGAACAAGTGCCCTTTTCAGAAAAGAAGTGGTGCCCTTTTTTGTGGCATCTGCCGTTTTGGGTGCCATTTTCAGAATTTCGCACATGTATCGCCCTGAAAAGCACCATATATTGGCCCTTTTGTGTGTATAATTGTCGGTTTTGAACATCGCCCCCATCGAAAGATGGTATTAGACCCCCCCCCCCCCCCCCGCTTTTTGATTTTACGGAGGCCAAGTGTCTTTCACAACGGATGTGCAAGTGCCCTTTTCAAAAAATGTTTACCCCCCCCAATAAAAATGACCGTGCTACGCCCCTGAGTTGGTACGTAAATCTTAATGGAAAAAAAATCGTAAAAATTGTTTGTTCTTACTTTATTGTTTGCTCTTGCTGTCAGATTACCGTGTAACCAAATTGCATATCGAGGCTGCAAAGACCCATACATTTTGTGGAGTATATTTCTGTTGTCTTTGTGTATAAACCTAACTTTTCATTTGGATTGCGGTCTGGGTATTTATAAGGCAAATTTTCTTGAATGACATGCCCCGGATATAAATTCACCATTTTTTTCTCGAAATGGTGGAGTAACAAAATTATAATGTTACTAATAGTCAGCAGTGGTTTGCAATAGATGTTGAATTCGGACAGGGCCAGTATATTAGCCCAGTATTTCGCAACATACTGCAAAATGTTGAACAGCCCTCAACTGTTACACACAAAAAGATCCCTAGATTGCTCCAGTATCGACCAAAAGGCTAATTCTCGCCAGTGGTCATTTGGAAAATCCTAAATGATCGGAGTATAAAAGCCCTTTCTTGGTGCGACCTCAAGACGGGGATGCGTCTTTTGACTGCCGCCCCACTGATCCTAGATCGGCTTTGTACCCTGGATCACTTTATGACCCCCTTAATCTTGCCCAATCTAACCCTACCTGCCACCTCCACACAAAACAAGATTTAGCTTTGTAAATAAAGGCCTTAGGCTGGGATTGCCTTAATAGACCTCTCTCAGATATTACAATATTTATTAGACCTGCCCTTACAGTCGGTAGGTGATGTTGTGAGAGACCTGTGCAGTTTTCATATTGGTATAAAACAAAGGTTTTGGTTTGGTTTTCTATTTTTCTTTCCACAAGATGTTTGATTCGCGTCTCAATCCATTACTGACCAAATTTGATGACAAACGAAACGCAACATTTCAGTCATTTTAACACCTGAAAGTTTATATTTTGCAATGTTCTCGTTAAGAATCACATCCCTTGAACTATGATTGCTGGTACGATAGTATGAAAACATTATTTTCGCGGATATGAGTTTAAAAAGGAAGCAAAACCATGTCTACTCGTTGAATCAAGTTACTACCATCGTTAACAATTGTAAAGAAATTGCTTGGCATAACTATCTGATCACGACCTCCCATTAACGAACCCTGACAATTCTTGTCAAAAGCCAATCCGTCTATAAACCTTCACTTCATGGACAGCATCCGTCGAGATCACTTAACCTTTGAAATCCTCTTCCGTATCATTTCAAAAATTGAAAAGCAGACTTGTTGAGTGGATTTGTCGGTGTCTCTTTGAATTATCTGATCGGGAGAGTTGATCCGTAGTTAAGTTTACCACCCACCGACAACACGCCGACAATGCGATTCCATCATCGGACCGTAAGCCCAGTAATCCCCGTTAAACATGAGCACCGGGTAGAAGGGCTGGTTGAGGCGGGACCGAGCGGCTGTTAACCCGGGAGGTGTCAAGTCGGCCGTGGCGGGTGTCGGACGGGGATTGAGGATCCCCGAAACCTTTTGAGTAGGAAAAAAAAATATTATATGATGCCTGAAACTTTACTCTTCTAATAACACATCATCAGTAAGTTGCCCATCCGTTAAAGCTTCGGTCGAATCTCCTCTGCCCTCCGGTGCCGCCTCTGTGGTACAAGCGTGCGAGTATTGAAAAATGGTCGGGTACGTGGGATGCCGTCTCAAATGCCGGGCATTAACCCAATAAGAGCATCAAAATATCAACGGTGTTGAAAGTGGTGCGATGCGGTCATTTTATTTGTGGTTGGGATCAAGAGGCATAAGATGGGATAAGAGATGGAAGTGACACAGAAGCGAACCCTTTTTTTCATTGCTTCAACTTTGAGGCGTTTGTGGATACAGAATGTGACGTTCTATCTCTAAACCGACCTTAAGTTTTGTTCTTCTCAGAAACACATATCGCCGTCTCGCAAATTGTGTTCTCCACCATGCAAAGCCACGAATAACAATTTGATTGTCATAGCATATCTGAGAAGTGAAAGATAAAGTTCTAAAACCTTTGGCTTAAAACCAACCGTTTTGAGGGAACAGAAGTAGGATGCCTCATTTTTCTCGTGTCAAAATAGCGTGAATTAAGAGTATTATATAATAATCATTTAAATACCTTCCCGCTTATTATTTTGCCTATACAGGATTTGTGCAGAACTTTGAGTTTGGAGCAAAGTAGACTTTATTATTGCCTCCTTAATTTGGGAATTTGTAAATATGACGCATTAACCTATCGACACAACGACATAACGACCAACAAACGAGCAGCCAGTTCGATAACTAGCCAATCAACCGTCCAAGGGCTAAGGAGACAGAAGGCTAGCCTAGGAGCACAAAGCCACCCATCCCTCCCCTCTCGATCACTCCAGACGCCGGAAGATATTTGCGGTATGGAACACACACACAGACACTGACACTCAACGTGTTCCGAAGAGCTTGATCTTTGGTCCTCGGGCTGATCGAGCGAACACCGCTGCAGCTAGGAAGTGATAACAGCCGGCCTCTTGGGGGAATCAAGACGGCGCGAGATGAACTTACCATCAGAGTTCATCAAGAGGTGTTAGCGTTGACGTTACTCTCACCAACTTATCGTATCTGTTTAGCCCAAATGATATGAACAGATAGGGAGTATACTGCTTAGCAGATTCTATGCTAAAATTATAGAGCCAGTCACAAGTAGAGTATATATCCCATGAGATCTTGGCTGGAATCTCTTTTTGCTCAGCACATATTTTCAGCACTTGAAATTTCACCTAATTTCTCTGAATCCCAAATGTACATGTAGTTGGGCGGATTTATTTCAATAGATAGAACTTTCCAAGTTGAAATCTCAACTTGTCTATTATCATTTTTTTTTCTCTCAACAGATTCAAACTATGGTTAAGGATAAAAACTCTGGTGTAATGACCATCTTGTCGCATTGATAGTCAAGTACCGTCAGTAACTTCTGAGTAAGGTAAGAGTACGTCAAGCAAGTATGTTTCAAAAATAAAAGTACTTTGGGGTACTAAACATGCATTTTGGGGTACTAAACTTATTGGTGCGAATACGTCTTCCGAACACGATACCGTGCATTCCTATGCTGTCGGCAATTGAGATTATGATATTATACAATTGAGATCGAACAGCCCTTTCAAATTTGGACCATACAATCATGTCATCAACAAGCAAATATTCAGAGTGCATGACAATCAGAAAAAAAATGTTCATCGTTGCGGTTGATCAGACTCAAAAGTAAAGCTTGCCGCCCGACAATGCACCCATGACCCTCATCATCATCATGGCCCTTTTGTCCTTTACCGCCTCATGTCACGGCGGCATAATTCGAATGTGCTCCCCTGACAAGGGAATGGAATAATGTCAATCGTCGCACCCAATTGGATTTCTACTCCAAGTGGTTTAAGAAGAAGAATTGATTCCATTACCCCTCCTCCGAGAGGCAGAGGCGAAGCCCAAGAATTTTCCAATCAAATTTTCGTCACAATTCTCCGACATTCTGTTTAACCAGAATTGGGATCGGCGAATGTAGGCCTGGCAGTGATGACTAAACATTGAACAACATATATTAGGAGAGACATTGTAAACACGAAAGGTTAAGTTAATTGCAACAGGTTACGCCACCTGTAAATACATTCGTCACCAAAGATGAGAAGGAATTGTTAAAGGCAGTCTCTCTCTTCAACAAAAATCTGCTATATTAATTTCAAACTGTGTTCTATTAACACTTACCTACTATTAATACCGTTAAGTTATCAAGCCAGTATTTGCAGTGTTAATGCACTCTAGGTTGAAAGACATATGCAATCTAAATCAACGCTAGTATTGAGGCATTTTATAATGCCTTCTTTTGGAAATGGATCCATATTGAAATGCAGTTCTCCAACCAAAGTTAATCAAACCATTTGTACTCAATTTGCCAATGTAGGTGGGGGGCAACGGGCCCATTCCAGTCCAGATCTGTAATTGTAAAAATGTGTCCGTACCAAAATGGAGGTCACCGGCTAAGGTTTGCTGCCATGGGCAACATGGTACGATGGGGAAAAAAAAGGCGGCCATAGCGTCCCAGGTGACACATTTCTTGGGGTTCACCTGGAATCCCTTACCTACTTCACCTGTATAACCCACCCGCTGTCCCTAACGATCGGTTGTAAACTACCACCTCATGGGCCACAAGAAAATAGTTATTATTTTGTATCCTCAGTTGTCTTTCAAATTGTGCTGGCGGCCCGGCCGTTGGTTTTTGGACGGTCGCATTGGGGGCAACACGCACTCTGTGCCCGGGCCAAACGCCGGCCCTTGAACTACTTTGTCACCTCCAATAAGAAAGGGCATCAAACCATCTGCTGGGCTAGAGAGGAAAAAAGTGTTTCGGTTTCTTACCAGCCGGGAGGGTAGAAACTCACGAACCGGCAAACAGATGGTGCAAGACCGCCCCCTCCTACAAAACACCGGCAGGGACGTGCAATGACACACGGGGGACACTGAGGAGGATTTGGGGCTTTTTGGGGAAAAAGAGCACCTTTTGGCCCAATCGCTAGACGCCTTGACTCTACCGACCAGACAGAGCCAGCCGGGAGCCAGGATCCGGCTGGGATATTTTGTCTTATTGAGATCAGGGATTTGTTTACTTTATAACGAGAAAAAAATGCAGCCAAATTGAATAGGAAATATTTCGGGGTTTTTCGGTGATCGAGGGTGACTGTCCGCGAGCGTGCACGGGGGTCAACCACAGTGATTCGCTCGGAATTGGAAATGTAATGAAGGCGATCCAGAAAAGTTTAAGGGCAAATTTGGCTCGGTATTAAGTGACATATTTCAAGCCTGACTCCTAACAAGTCAAACGCGAACCATAATTATTTCACAAAAACACCTTAAGCTTCATGGTCAGCGAACCTCAGTCCCGAAATCAACCTTGTTTGTCTCCTATCCCCGGTACAGAACTCGTACAAAAGATCAGGATATGTATCATCATGGAGACAATACCTTGTCACTCTAACCCCAGACACCTGATCTTTCTAACCCAATTAATAACTACAGGTATGGACCCATGGACCGCTACCTTATTAATGATCTCCTTTTGTAAGACGTAAGCCTTTTCAAATTAGGTATTTTTGTATAGGAGAAGAAATTGATTCCCCATTTGTCACCTCCTGGGGTGGCAGCCGATCTTGCCCACTTCACCACTTCATTGTTGAAAACTCCTCAAATGATTTTTTACCGTGTATTCTTGTGGCTTCAAATTGCCGGTACTTAGGCCAACCACAATATTTTTTGTAAAGAAACGATGTGTGGCGCGTTGCCGATTGATTTAAAGGGGAAGCATCTCTCGTTCCCTTACCTTCTCGCTGTGGTAAATTGCGTGGGATTTGCTGGAAAACGATACGCCTATATCTAGTTGGCATTTTTGTAATCAAAAGACCAGAAAGCCTCCCACACCCATAAGCCACTGAGCTGGAGTTTGTGGTTAAAGAGCTTAAGCCTAGACGCGGTGTTTTTGGTAATATTTCTTCGGAGGGGGCGTATCTCTGAGATGTCAACTGGAACGTCCGAGATATTTGTTGAAGTTACATATTACTCCAAATGCCGTTGCTACTCCTTTCCTTTATCGGCTGCGCCCAACTCAAAAATGTCATTGTTGTTGAAATACCAACGAAATGTTACGCAGAATGGTTGGGAAATCAAGGCAGTTACGGATGTAAGTTGCATCTGTAAGTACTATGGGAAATGTTAAAAAATTTGCGGTTGTAGAAAAAAAATTAATGTTACATTAATTTTTTTCTTTCCACAACCGCAAAACAGTTGTTTACGTTGACGTATTCGGCATTTCAAATGTCAGGATTCACCATGGCATCAAAACCCAAACAACAACATCGTGATTGCTTCATGAAATATGTTGTTATTGGTTGTACGTGATATCCGATTCAGACCGCAAAATTCTTCGACAACCTCCGAGTTAACGGATCGACGAACCGCAAGGGGCAGTGAGAGAAAAAAAAGAGAGCATCGGTAAAGTTGGAGTGAGGACACCCGGTGTGGGCAGCGATGGGAGGCTTAAACAAGCCCCGAGGGACGGTTCGGTTTCATTCGGGATTGGTGTGAATATCTTATTTGATTTCTTGTTCCGCGCGATTCTGCACTGATAATATGGTGTAAATGTAGACCTTCAATCATCGACATTCTACCGCACTCCTAATAGTAGTATTTGTTTCTTGAACCCCGCGTGGTCCTCAACAAACAGTTGAGCAGCAGCAACTGCATTATGAGTGCAACCAACAACACCGAAGCAACAACAACAGCAACAAACAGAACACCAGCAATAAGCAACAAGATACAACTTCGATGACAAGATGTCAAGGAACCATAAGATATATTTAATGCCAACAAGAAATTAAAGTAAAGCGTATACAACCATGTAACCATGATCAAAGCGTGAGCGATCTCTAAAGATTAAGCACTTGAATGTTCTGCTCAATGTTCCCCAAACATTCTGACCGTCCCCCACCAACCAAAAATATCACCGACACTTCTCTTTTCTGACAGTCACAATTACCTGTCGCTCCCCCAGCCTGGCATTCGTTTCACCGTAAACGATGCATCACAATTCATGTTTGTGTTATACACGTCGCGGATGGGTTACCCCAGTCAATGTTTAACATTACATCGTCCATGTGATAGTCCATGTTCACTGCTACCTCCTAGGGCGATTCCAGGAGGGTGTCCTGGGTTCCACAGTTACAAGGTGGAAAACGATATTGAACAGTTTCACACACTGAGTAAAAATAGACTGCTGTACGTTGACGTTGTTTGGATTTGGTATATACTTACGCCTCTTCTTTGGGTGATCATGAACTTTCGTGAGTCACAACAGTTCTTACCGTTGTCATTTAAGGACAAGTGATTAAAGCAAGTCATTAAGATGCCAATCCCAAGAATGTTTCAGTAATTGTAAACGCTTGGTCAACGCGTCTACGCACCGCTTGATACCTTGGCAAGATTGAAATTAAATCAATATTGAATTCGATAGGTTCGCATGGTTATAGAAAGAAATTCTGAGGGTTTTCTTTGGAAAATATTTGAGCAGCAACTGTCAATATTGTCAACGCCTGCATGGCTGATGTAATTTGCATCACGTCACTGCCTGCCTTGTTTACCATCCAGTGCCTAATGATGCGTCCTAGAAGGTCTTATCAATCAGCCAGCTTTCCTCCCACGTCTGCAAACGCATGGTTGGCTCTGTTTTATCTTTACTGAGTATGAACTTGAAAGTTCAGGGGTTATTTCTTAACAGGAATAGCCAAAGTAATTAATTGAAGGTTAAATGAACTTTTACATTGTAATTACATAGTGATGCGAAGGATAACTAGAAATCCGGTGAAGTGTGAATTGAGGACTCATTGGTAGTATTGCGCATGCCTAAGTGAAGATAATTAGGAGAGTGACTGGTCACGTGTGAGGGTTCAACCAATAAAAGGGTAAAGGAACAAGATTTCGCAAGAGTCCATATTTCATGTGACACCAGGACAAAACATAACTCTCAAGACTTGTGCTGTTCCTTAGTTTTTCTGTATAGGTTTTCTTCCAACAAAATGACACTGACACACCCACTCTCAGTTTGTGTCTGCTTTTGTGTGGATATATTTTAGGGCAAACCCATCAGTTAAGGAATATATCCATTTCATTATATAGGTGTTGATTTGGATAGACCGGCATATTTGCTTCGTTGTTGTTTTAAATTGTGTACCTTATCGACAAGGATCCAGTTGATGGCGTGCCATTTGAAATCCATCAGTAACGTATTTCGACAGGTGCAGGAAATTTTCGAATCTAGACCGAGAGGGTTCAGAAGTCTTGGAGACTCATTCGGATGTGGCGGCTGATTGCTTAATGCTTCAACTATATAGGGTAGAAAACCTTAGTGTATATGCGTATGCCCCCTGCTCGTGCCAATCCAATATGTGTAAATGTTGCATGTAGGGTTGCTTAAACAGTTGAAACGATGTGGAATAGGGCCTATGTAAATGTGTTCAAGAGGGATATACAGTTATTAATTGCATTGACCACAACGGGGTTCCGCAGGTTATTTCTGGCACATCCGCGGTGTGTAAGTGAGGGGGTTCGGGGGGGGGGGGGGAGGTAAGTTCGTTACCAGAAGCCCCCAAGCGGCACCTTGACCCTAGTTTGACCATCTCTATGGTCTGCGTTCTTATTCCTCCATGGTCAGGATAAGCCGATCTTTCACTAACTCAATCGTATTGCGCAACGCATCCGTTGTCATGCACGTGAGCCGTTTCAGGAATGCGCGGCAAGACGACGACGTTGAGGAATTGAAGGAAACTCGCGCAAACCCCTAACCGACGTCCAACAATTATAGAATCGAGCGAGGTAAATTACAGGAGTCCGGTCAATATTTACTTCTCTATCAAGCAGTCCAGTTCTGGGCAAGGTCGGGCAATATTCTGTATAGAGCCTGTACCTTCTGAGGTGCGTGCCACGCAGCATCTGAAATATCCATCAGACGGCTCGTTGTATCGGAACTAAATGTGGATTATTTCCTTTCCAGACCCGTTGAATTGTCTGGGAGTTTCACCGTAAATAATATTGGTACAAGTCACCTCTGTGTAGGCAATTGTGATTGTTTTTATGGAGTGGGTGGTAGGTTAACCATGTTAACCTTCATTGTGCCATCCCCTTCCTTCCCACGTGCGTGCAGTATTGCCATGCAGGGAGAAGTCCTTGGTTGGGAATAGAACGCTCCCTGAAACCTGCTCGATATAGCTCGTTGGTGGTTCTGTGTTATGCTCTGGACTTTACATTTGTCTTAAATGTCTACGTCTGTTGGTTAATACGGAGAAGTACGCTTCATTAAAGAGCATAATAAAGCTGCAGTAAAGTGCTAGCTCCAAGTTGATAAGTAGGGGGCTTGCTACGGTATGGGATTCGAAATCCTCAATATGGTTCGCCGACCCCCAATACAAATCAATTCGACGAAAACATCGAATTGATTTTTTTTTTCAAAAAAATCTCGATTATTTCCTTAGCACCCTATAAATATCTGCTTATCGACAGATTCATGACTACATTTGACCGAAAATCAACTGTGACGGCTCTGATAATTTTCGAAATTTGTTTTACCATCAAATTTTGTAAATTACAAATGTAGAAAACACGAAGAGTTGCACGATTATTCCTGGGTGTTAATTATCAAGAGTACCACACAATCTTGGCTGCGGTGTAGCGGCTTTTAGACGGCCAACATCTCAGACATCCCCACTTTTTCTAAATGTGACTGCACTCGGAAGCAGAATATTTCCCCTCTGAACAAAAAAAAAATCGACCTGTGCCAGATGTCTCAGGCATAATTCTCTCCCATTCGGAGAGCCTTGGCATTGGTCGTTTTGTATATCAAATTGCCTAAATAATACAGTTCGTGCTCTCAGGGACCCGGTCGACTACGTGGGAGCATGGCAAGCCTTTCTATTTCCCAGGTGAACCGGGGGGCACTCATTTAACACAGCCTCCGTCGTATATTTCCATCTGTTTGCTCCTAGTTGGGTATCGGCAGTGACTGGGACACACCGCGGACCGGACCGGGGTAGTTCTATATAGTTCGGGTGCACAGCATTCTAAAAATACATCCTTGTGATTTTTTTTTGTTTTATAAGTCAAGGTATGTTATGCTGTATGTGGATTTTTTGTGCGTTGGTATTTGGTACCACTAACTCAATGCTATCGGAGACGCCAGTAGTGGAGTATGTAGCCTACTGGAGGCGTGTATGAGCTCCTAACGTGATCTTGCCGATGGCAACATTTCTGTGTATGCCAGCGGGGGTTTTCATTGGCAACATGAATGGTTGTTGCCGTATCGCCGACTTGATACCCAATCGGGCCCGATAAGGTGTCAACCTGCCGGAGGGTCTTTGCCTTCGCTCTTTTTTCCTTTTTAAAAGGAATCAGCATCCACGCATCTGCGACCTGCAATTTGCATTGTGTCACCCGACCAACATGGGCCCGCCCTCCTGCTTGCAGCCCATAGGCGCTAGCCGGCAGTGGGTCTGATGAAAAGGGGAGTAGTGAGGGATAAGTTGAATAGCTACGCCACACATGTTCATTATTGCATCTAGACATTCACTGCATCACATAGTGCGACACGAGGAGGGACGCTGATTTCGGCTTCAGTCAAACCTGTTTGCTTGCTTGCTGTGCTGTGGATGTTTTATAAGTGGACACGTTCATGCATCTTTGTTTGCAGAAAAGGAAATAATGCAAGCCGTATAGGGATGTGTTTGAATCGTCACAAAGCTCGCCAATACGCAACAATCAGCTTCCTCATTTAGAGGTAGAACTTACATCCGGAAAGGAGGACCTAAGCACAAGAGGAGAAAGTGGCTGGCGTGTTTGTGTTTCCTGATGGCGGTGATGTATGGGGCAAGGCAGGCGATGCGTTTGCGTAGGTAACGCACCACTGATCACTAGTTGGTTTTTCACCCTGAGCCGTCAAGCGAGAAGGCCAATTGGCAATTTTTTTTTTGCCTCCATGTGAAATTGATGCATAACTAAAAAAAATTGTCAGTGCGGTAGCGAGGTCTATTGTGTGGTCCTCGCCTGTTTGTGTGGATTTTTTTTTTAATACACTCTGTTTGTGTGTGGGGAGTAGCAAAAGGGCAGAGAAAGGCTATAAACTACAGACAGGAGTGACGCCGCTTCATAGCTCCACTGCAGATTCAGCCAAGTCTCATGAATGAGGAATACAAGTGCGCAGTGACAAGTCTTTACTGTGATAAGTACATCGGTCTCGCGCGTTGTAACATCTCACCAGAACTTCAGAAGGATACTAAAATATGTAACTTGTATCTACGAGTGACAGGTTGATAGCCAATTTTTTTTTTTTAAATTCTATTTTTAAAGATGAACGGGCAACGAAGCGAGACGTGTTTAAATTGGTGCTCGGCGGACTGGGAAAAAAGCTCCATCACCACACGGGATACAGAGAAGAGATGTGATTGCACACACACTACAGCGGTGATTGGCACAGGTAGTAGGCAGGACTGTCCTCAGCGGGCGCGTCTGGAGAATCACCGCGGGGGGAGTGAGGATAGGGACGGTAGTTGCTGCATCAAAAGGACCGGTGGTGATAGGAGTAGTGGACTCCTTGTGACCAGGAGGTCGGGTAGGCTTTGTCAGTCGTGTGCCACCCGGGGTAGCGGCCCCGATGCAGGGACCGGTATGGCCGGCAGGTTAACCGCCGGAACCACCGCCGCTAGGCCCACCTGGCGCCAGGCCAAGGGGATTCGTCAGCAAGGACACGGGAGTTTTCATTCCCAATCGGGCGCGTTACTTTGCCTTCACAGATGGATGTCTACGACACGAGTCTTCTCCCGAGGCTGGATAGTTTATCTTTTCTGCTACCTCATACTTTTTAATAGCGCTTTGTCTCTATCACATGCGTTGGAGGATCCACGCCAGGTAAGACCAACAATTAGCTCCATTCAAATATCACCTTTAACGTTGAAAAAAATCACCTCTAACATCATGAGAATTACGTAGACATAGTATAGCTTTCGTACGTATTGCCCTGTCCAAGATCATAGCGTGTAACATACGCACGTATTACGAAATGAGCACCGCAGCCAACAGCTTTAAAAGGAAAACATCACTCACTTTTAATGAACAGAAAAAAATTACAACCTTCGGCTGTATATCACAGTTGACATTAACTGGCGCGATAAATACGCGAACTCGGTGGGCATCATTCCGACAATTCTGATCATGGCTTGATATTTTCATGTGATCTATTTTTATTTTTATTTTCATTTCAAAGATGCCTACCTCTTGAAAATGATTGATCATTTGTTTATGATTCATCGCTGTCCTCTGACTGGAATGGTTACAATGTTTCAGATTACTTGTGCAGCAGACTGTTTAATAAGTTGTCTCTCCAGTCTCAGTCAGTCACCATTCATATCAGGCGGAATATTAAATGGCACTGCCGTTTTCTCTTACGTTGAAGGGTGGGTACTGGGCCTGCGGTCCATTTAGGCGATAAATGGTTACTCCAATGGCTCATCTTTGGTATTTGATGCTATATAAGCAGTTTGTCACACAATGCTAGTGATCGCTGGGTGAGATTTTAAATGGGCTTGATAGGGGTGGTTAAGCCCAATAATTTCCCCAGAACCAAGGCCATGAGATTTTCGCCTGACGAGGTCACCGAAATTCTAATAATTGGCAGTTTATTTTTGCACCGCAATTGAAGGCTACCATTTTGTACCATTACTGTGCGTATGTACGTGTGAAGCATGCACGGTAGAGGCACTTTGGAGCACACAGAAACATTCAAGAAAATATAAAAGAAACTTGAGTAAAAAGAACGGAGAAGGTTTAAGGACTTCCAATAATTTACCATAGAATATACATTCATTATTTATAACACTGAAATATCTAGTGTTTAATTATGGCAATGTGCTTCTTAACATATTGCCAAGCCACCAGACAGATAGAGTTTAATGTAAATTTAGACCGTATTTTTATGCAGCGCGCTAAAACGAGATTAAGACAACGAGATTAAGACAACAGCTTGAATATGTATTAATTACGATGTGGAATTTCTCGACTGAAAAAAAAAATCATTCCTCAAATGGGATAATCGCACGGGCTTAGTTTCTAAGCGCTTGGATTTTCATGATGCGATAAACTGGCGGAATAAATCGCAGGCCTCCGGGCAGGACTGGTTGCCTGTAATGCTCCTGTCTGGATCCGTTGGGAAACACCATCAGTCATCGCATTAGACAATCATACTCAGTATTGACTGCTGGACACGCAAAGGCGCCCCTGCTTCCACTCGACTCTCAACTCCTAGACATTTCAATTTCTATTTTCAGACTTCGTGCATCGATTCTCCCCACTCCGCTACACGATATTGAAAGCCTCGTATCAACACCTTGTTTGCCGATTATGTCAAACAACTAGCAACATTCCTGTTTCTATTAATACAAAAAAGAAAAGTGGCTACTTGAAAACACAGGAAAGTGCAGTCCGACCTTGACTCGAGTCCCATGAACCTCTCAAAGTGATGACGTAGCCACTTTGGTAAAGGAAGCCACGTGTGTGGTAGGAACCGTCTGTTCTCTATAGTTCTTTTTCTTTAGCTTATCGTGTATGTTTCTTTTTATTCAGCGGCACAAATCGCGACTGATTGAGGAAACAGTGGTTATGTTCAACTTGGCAAGCCGAACTCGATCTGTACCGATTAAGTACTTCTAGACGTTTGTGTTTGCTCATCAAACTCTTGGGAAATGCATAGGGAGGATGTATGGGTTTCCCTCCTAGTCATATAGGAACTAATTCATATATTCCGGCTGGCGATAGTCATGTTGCATTGTAAAGCCTCCCGCAGGAATATTTCATATTTGGGTTACCATTCTGTCTGCATGTAGTGTGCGTTGTTCTTGCAAAAATGTCGGCTCCTTCAACTCAATAATTTGGAAATTGGAATGGAAGAGTAATTTTTTATCCCAATTTCATAACCCCTTAAGGCTTAAATGCGGTGACCCACGATATTTTTTCCTAATAAATCTGACTGGTTATTAACTAACATTTGAAAGAGAAACAGACTTTTATAGCATTCATGAAGTTATAAGCATTTGTGTTTTAATGCTGTATTTTTGCGACAGTTAGGTGTGTGTTTTGCGAATATCCTGCTTTTAGAGGTCGCAGGTTCACATCCCTAATTTCGATGAATGTTAACATGTAATATTTTTTTTTTGGGGGGGGGTATCATGTCGGCTGCTGGCAGACATTTCCTCCCTTTAAAGAAAATAACCCTTTCAAGCGATATTAGGATCAAAAAATGTCTTTCCAATATCGTTAATCAATGTCTGAAAAAGTCGGCCGCAAGGGGGTTCACCCCACCGTCTGTTTTCTGGTGTCGATGTTTACCGAGACGATCCATAGACCCACCGGGTTCTTGCTCGGCTAGGGTAGGCCTGGTAAGCCGCAGAGTTTTTCTTCTCTTTTCGCCTGAGGTACCTCCCGGAAGCCGGGGCCAATCCAGGCATAGCCCGAGGGAGACGGCTGGTATAAGTTTGTAACTGATTGGGGTCATGCATGAAGCAGTCGTTAATTCACGGAGTGGTGCCATGGTTTCTGCTGGCAAAATACTGTAGAAAAGTGCAGCCGTCTTGTACATGTACATTATGTCTTTTTGAAAGGTACTTATGCGAATGCAGGTGTTTAGGCCTACCTGCTTATTGGTCACAATGTTAACTACCTACTTTTTTGGCACATTCTTCTGCACAGTCGTTTGCATTTTACTCGAATTAAAAAAGAAGTTATTTTACACTGATCGACCGATAGCAACTGTCATCGGCACTTTCTTTTTACTGTTTTTATGTTTTCCTAAAAGGAGGTATGGTTGCACATGCATAAATTGACAAATTATAGTAAGCCCTATATGCGTGTTTTTGAGGCATTACATTTCTCGACCTAATGATCATTGCATCCAGTGTGTGGATAAATAATGATCGTTTTATTTCTTGCATGTATCAATCTTCAGAAGTGCAGAACATTTACCGACCCTCATTTTGTATACCTCGCAACTGACGGATGATTCATTGCCAGAAATCGTTTGCTATCCATAATATTTCTCTGGCCATATTCAGAGGCGAATTACAAGTATCAAATAACCAAGGCAATCAGTTGTTGGAATTTGTCTTGGTCAATGTCTCATCATCAAGCCGTATAGCCAGGGATGGGCCACCGAGGTGGAGATATAGCATACAGAAATGCAGCTCTTTATCCAGGGTTGGTTAAATAAACGGCGAGGCACTGCACTTACGGAGAAATCATTTGGAAGCAATGCATACCATATCTTATGTTAAGCATCTTGCAGAAGTTGAGATAGATATCCGTACCGTAAGGATTGTGACCCAATTTTACAGAATTGCTAAGCTGAAAATGTCCCGAGCTAATCTGCATTCTATAACCTCTTACAATGTTAAAATTATTTGTGTAAAATCTAACCTGTTTGTCAGTCTAATTCGTATGTTACATTCGGTACCATGAACGCAGTCTCATAACCCAGTGCTGACGTACAGTACACTGCAGACATTGAAATTCTTTGGGGGAAAACATTCTCGTAGTTTAAAATCATCGACTTAACGAGGGTTGTTTAAGGGGCGATTTCCTCGCAGAACTTGCGAATTCATACGCCAAACTCTGCGTGAGAGACGCCTATGGGCCCACACGTCGAAATTTAATTTATCACTTGTCCACTTCAACACTGATGCACTGTGAAGTTAAAGGAACGTCCCCTGATATTCATGGAGTATTTTCAGCATTTGATAACCAAACTGGTTGAAGTTACAACTAATATTTCATGGACCGAACTATAATTGAACTGTCTGTTGACGTGAACTGGCATTACATAAAAAACCCAAAAACAGTGGCATGGTGGGGGGGGGGGGGGGGGTGTCGCTGAGCCATGAGGGATGGAGCTATGTACGTGTACATGCATGATCTGTATCGTGATCACCGCATAATGCGTCGAATAAAAATGCCCCCACCACATTTTTTCAGGTGAAATGTATGGTAACCTTCCATAACAAACTTCCATATTTGGTTCTTGCCCGGCTTTGTTGGTTCGCATCAAAACGTAAATGGGGAAAAAACTCACGTATCAAATCAACGAGGCAACGCGGAACAATATTGTTGGTTACCATTCGTTGCGAAGCGCAAACCATAACACTTGAAAAATTAATCCCAAATCTGACGTCAGCTGACTAGGTCAGATACACATCGTTGACTTTGAATGCACGTGTCTGACTTTGCATGTTCTTGCATCAGTTGCGCATTGTGTTAAAGGGTACCGCCAAAAAGCAGGCAATGTGACGAATTGTGTATCGTCCCTACCAAATCGAGCTGTAATAAATGTACATGCTGTGCCTGTCAAAACATGTACTTTCCAATATTGAACTGTTTCAACTTGTGTTTGGCACAAACAAATTGTCGCGTTTGTACTGCATTACGTGAAGGATTCTTAAACGGTATGCGGTGTCTGTGTGCCAGGTCACGTCCAATAAATCTTGACATTATTTATGGATAACGCATGTGCAACTGAGCTACTGAAATTGGTTTGACCTGTCATACCACCAGGTTGACATTGTAGCGTGACAATAACAGCACTAGAACAAAACAAACCAATCAATTATAAATATATGAAGTTTGTGTCATTGGGCAATGCAACTAGTTTTTAAACTATACCAAAACAACTGTGTAGGCCTAATCTCTACGGACTAACCTGGCGCACATCTGAGATGGTACCACGCTTGGCACCAACCTTACTGCGTTTACAATTTGCTACAAGTAACTCAGAAATGTCTTCTAAGTTATGGATTCGATTGATTTGTATTTGACTTAATTGTTCAGTATGTCCCTAGTAATGACGTAGGTATTTTGTCCATATCTCC